GCCAGAAGCTCTCTCCTGAGGAGAACGGAGTCCTGTCTTGTGCCCCGCTGCACTCTGCCGCCAGCCAAGGTATCTCTGGGGTAAAACACTGCAGTGCTGCCTGTGGCCCAGCAGCGAAGGTCAGAACTGGCCTGGGCACCATCTAACTGGTTATATTGGGATACTTATTCCAATACTTAGAGACAGTGCTGCGCAGGACTATGAGTTGGATTTAATCCTTGTGGGTCCCTTTCAACTTAGAACATTCTATGATGCTACAGTTCTGTGACAAAAATGCAACTGACTAGATTTGTAGAATTATTGTATGTAATGTTACAAAATATTATCTTCATAGACACTCATGTTTGTATAACCAGCAACTATAATTGTCAAAATAATTATTCTAAGCATTAACTAAAAAAGATCAATGAGAGTGCAGCATAATTTCATGAACTATATTCAATTGCCTAAAGAGCAATTAAGAAAAGCTTTAGTTAAAAAAAACTGTTAATTCTATTTAAGAACTGATAAATTTCCCAGCATCACAAAAGATTCCTCAATACACAGAATCTTGCACTATGATACCCTCTATGTACTGGAATGTACTGATTATAGTAGAAACCAGTGGTTCATCTAATGCCCCACTCTGAGCCCCAGCAGAGGCTACAGGTCTTGGCTATGACTGAAAAAAAAATCAAGAGTAGGTGGGACAATAACTGGAGGATGTGGAATGCTATGCCTGAAGTTAGTCATTAACTACAGAATGAACTAAACTTTCTTTTTTCTGTAACTAGGAGTTCAGAACAGAACAGCCTGGGCTTGATTAATGTTCAACTCAGTTAAATGCATTTGATTCTAACTTAGTTTTAAAGCATTTTCCATTTGGAGTAATTTCGGAAAAGGTGAGTCTGTGATGTCCTACTGAAGAGTCAGCAAACATTCTACACTAACAAAGATTCCAGTGGATTACAAATCGAGTTTAGAGAAAAAATTTAAGTGGAACGATCAAATACACCAAATTTATCATACAGTAGTTGGAATTAGGGGGGGTGCAAACTTTGTTCTATTCTGTTGGCCTCTGTGAAAAGTGACAACATATCCTTGAATATCAAAGGAGTAACTTTAGAGATGCTTATAAGTTTTAGACTTTCTTAGCAAAAATAAAAAGCATGATGCAATAGCAGAACCCAGTTATAAAATGACACAGAATAAATTTTCCTGAACTTTATCCCTGAAAATTCTGCCATTATCTGTCTGGTAAATTTACTTCTTAGGCAAAACTGATAGGGGCAAAAAGGGGGTGCAAAACAGAGCTCTTGAACAGGTTCTACTAAACAGCTTACCCCTCTTGAAGAAGAACCTGCACAACCTCGAGGTGTCCATTTCTAGCACCGTACATGAGGGCTGTCCAGCCATTCCCTGCGGCTGCATTGACCAGTGATGGCAAGCGTCTGAGCAGCACCTTCAGCCCGGCTGTGTCACCAGCAGCAGCAAAGTTATGCAGCTGAGAAACCATGTCCTGATGCAGGTTCTTTTCAAAGTCAGTCATTGTGCCTTCTGAGATTAAAAAAAAAAATAAAAGCGCCAGAGAGTATACCTCCCACTACTAAGACGATTTAAGCAAAAGATTGAACTTTAATGCTGTACAGAAAATCAGTGTTATTACCAAAAATACAGATACAAGAAATTCTTGTGATTGGTGTGATATTATTATTCCAATCTTCGTCCCACCCGCCTCCAAACATTGTGAAACTTTACCTTAACAATCAAAACCAGTTTTAAAGAGGCTTGAGGACCAGAAGATTTCACTGTGGAAATGAAGATTCTGAGTGTGAAAACAATACATCAAGGTTTCTAAACCAAAAGCACTCAGGCACACAGAGACAGAGAGATAGACAGACAGACAAACACACACACGCACACGCAGACACCGCTGCCGTGACCGCTGCGCAGCACAGCGACAGCTTCTGCTTCCTCAGGTCCCGCTCCCCTCGCTTCCCTAGGGCCGCGACCCGGCCGCAACAGCCGGCCACGTTACCGTGCGCAGCCTCCGCTGGCGGCCAGGCCCCGTGCCCCTCCCACCGCGCCCGGCAGCGCTGCAGAGGAAGGCCCACTCCCGCGCGGGCCCGAGAGAGACGGAGCAGGGCCGAGCGGGGCCGAGAGCGATTGCCACGCCCGGCCCTTCAGGCGGGCGCCAGGCTTGAGACGCTGCGTGTTCCCGCAGGGAACTGCCAGTCGTTCCCCGAGCGCCGCTGCTGGATGGGTTGGGTTGATGCGCAGGGTTAAAGGGCGAGCCGCCATTTTGTCCGCCGGGCAGGAGTGGTAATAGGGAAATGATCAGATTGATTTTTGGCATTGCTTTACCGCGCTAGCAGAAGGCAAAGGTCGGTGGCAACAGAATGCGGAAGTAGTTGTGAAAAAGGCGCAGCTACTGACATGGCAGCGGAGAAGAGTTAGCGGGGAAATCGGAATGATGTAATCAGCCAGAGGTGTGTCCTGACTAGTCAGGAATATTCCACCAACACCAGAGTTTATGTCCAAAAAGAGGAGTCCTTCAACTTTTTTTTTCGAATAAAGGGGGAGACTCCACAGGGGCACATGGCTTCGGGATGTTTTCTCTAGAAGTTTCAGAGGCCGCAGCCTCATTTTATTCCAAATTCTCAGCTATATGTCGCCCTCTTCCCCATTGCTGAGGTACTAGGAAGGCACAGCCTTCCCGAACCACCTACCACATATCCCCCCTTGAATCTACTGTCATTTGACCCCAAAGATCATAAGTTCAGGCTTATGCAGACCCTTGTCTGTCTCAGAAGTGTGAAAAATGGGTGTTTTATGATTGCCTTTTTGCAGATATTAAAATGAATATATGTGTTGCGTAAGAAAGTAATGCTGTATTAATTCTCTTAAGTAGTGTGTTAAATACAGTTTGAGGTTATAAGGAATGTTAAAATAGAAACTATGTTATGTAGGATACTTCTTTTAAAAAAAGGACTCTCAGCAAGGTAGCAGCCACAGGACACCTAAATCTTTCAGAGAAAAAGAATTTCTTACCCTCTTATCAGAAGAAACGAACTTCTTCCCACCTCGAAGGCGCTGTTATGATTCAGAGGAAGAAGCTGATGATGACCAGACCGAATCCTGTGTTTGAATGGCATTTATTCATCATGTATGAAGTGTATGAATATGCAACAGGCTATTGTTTTTAAGGGTTAAGAGGTGTCCTTTTTCGTGCTGCCCAGAAAAAGATACCCAGACGTTCATAACTCTTTGTTTCTATTGTCTCTTATTGCCCTAATTCAAATTGTCCAAATTATTATTACTCTATTTGCATTACTATTTTTATAAATTTTATTACTATTAAACTTTTTAAAAAATTAAAAATAAGTGATTGACATTTTTCACAGGAGCCTGGGTTCTGCAAGCAGTCTGGGTTCTGCAACAAACCTGCTGCCCAAAGTTAGTAGAGACATTGTAACCCATTTCAAAGATGCTAACACCCACACCTTCACCCACCAAATTGTTTGTAAAAACATTAGCTTCCCTCTCACTAAGAAAAACCTTGGAAAATTGAGGCTATATTAGTCCTATAGAAATGAACATGGGACTGTTGTCCTAATTCATTTGCACCTGGAGAGTGCAGGGAAAAAAAAAAGGTGTAGCTTTTGAAAGGTCAAAATAAAAGTTTTGTACTGTACAGGGTAATCCTGCAAAACAAATTGTGGTTATTCCTATTGCCTAAAGCTGGAATGCAGAGGTCAATCAAATTGGTTTTACCAATTCTGACATGCAGAGAAAAGACTCCACAACCAGCAAGTTAGTTCTTCATTTGGGCTTCATTCTTAACCTCTCAGTTCCACCCACATTTCATGAAGGCTCTGTTCAGAGTTGATGTGCTAGGTAAAGTTTGAAAGAAGCTCTGATTTTAAGTTGTTCATTTTAGGTGAAAAAAGTGAGACACTGACTGTGTGAAAAGAACGTGTTGTCAAATGTTTTAGTTTATGTACATTGTGATTAGTGCATTTTAATAGACTATGCTTTTCACACTTCTTAGTATCAAAATAAAATTTTGATTTGTCTTAAGGAGTCAAAGTTGTTATGAGGGAAGCAGAAATCAGTATTACCGGGCACTTAAGCATTCTGTGATAGTATGCTTTGAAGTTGTAAATAAGGACTTTGGGACAATACAACTAGTGTCTTTCCTAATCATCTCCCTGATTAGTTTCCAAGCAGTCCTCCCTGGAAAACATTTGGGCAAATACTAAAGGGCCTGATCCAAAGCATCCATTGGTCTAAATATGAGTTTGTTGGTATTGAAGAGATGGAATCCTTTTGGTGGGAGTTTTTACTTTCTTGTAGGAAAGAGCTGTAATAAAGCTGTAGGACAGTATTTATTATGAGAAAAATCCATTTACATATATCAGATAATGTCAAAATACTGTTTTTAGTACTAACTCTGGACCTCAGCAGTCTAGAGAATAGGGAGAATAGGAATTCTTTCAACTCAAAATGCTTTCAGTCAGCTGAGCAAGGAGTTTCTTACAGCTGTGGAAGGTACTGCAATACATGCTGTGTCTGACAGTCTGACAAGATAAAAGGTGTGTAGAATCTGCCCAGAACATGTTCCTGAAAAGTGAATGGTTTGTCATATGATGGTTATGAAACAAATTTTCCCCAAGCAACTGATGTGGGGATGAGAGGTGAGGAGTGCTGAAGCTTAATGTTCCTGAATTAAATTTTGTGGGGACAATATGGAGGGCTGGAAGGCAGAAGCACAAACAGCTTTCTTTTTCAGAAGGGACCACTGCTATGAAAGGTCCCAGCTGCTATGAAAGGTCCCAGCTGCTTCCTCTGTGAGACTGAATGCCTGACCACTGCCCCATTTTCTCCTTCGGCACCTTGCTTAATCTTGATTCATTGGGGAAAGATGAAACAGCTGTTCAATGACCTAGCCCAAGGTGCAATCCAAGTGGGGAATGTTTCTGGTGTGGTAATCTGCTGGAGTCTCCAGAACCTGAAAAGCTGTGAAGGCTTATAGGAAGAGAAGTAGTGTATCTAGAGCGGGCATGAGACAAGATGATTATAGTATGGGTAAGATTATTATATGTGCTTTGTGACTGATTAGGATTTTCTTGTTCTTCTCCAAATTATTCTTGGATTTTCAGTTGTTTTCATATTCTAATTTGGTTGCATTTGTTAAGCACTTGTGTTTAACTGATCACTTATAAATTTGGAAGCATGGCTCCCTGAGTTCTAGACTGGTTGATTTAGTTTCTCAAATTTCTCAGGAGATGGCTGAGCTGGTATTTGAATTGTTTAATAAGGGTTTATTAATAAAAGCGGTTTTAATAATTTCTCAGTGTCTGGCTTGCAAGTACTTGCTCATGATCAGTGAAGTCATATTTGCAGCAAATTTGAGTTTAAATGGCTGTTACTCTTCTTGTTCTGTAGACTCGCTGAGGCCTGGAGTTGGTATTAAAAATATCTGATAACATTATTTTTCAAACTGATATGATACCTGCAAATTATTTTTTGCTTAATCATAATTATCTTCATGCCGCTTGTTTCACATTCAAAGGATGACTTCCTTTGAAGTCAAATGAAAGTGTATTTTAAAACTAAGAAACTAGTTTTGGTTGTTTTGGGAAAAAAAAAAAGAGACTTTCAATATATCTGAGGGAAATAGTGGAACCGATTCAGGAATTTAGGTCTTCAAAGCAGGTTTCATAAAACTGTTCCTTCTCTAAGTTAATTCTTTGTTTTTATCATATTAGCCTTCTATCTCCTGTGATCTGTGATCTTGCTTATGCTTACTCTTGCCACCCACCATATATTTTGGAAACAAGCACTATTCCTGCCTATGACGGGAGAGGCCCCTTCTTGCTCTCTGTAGCTTGTGCTGGGATCCTCCTCCTCACTCTAGTCTCTGATGCCACGAACCAGGAACACCCACATTCCCAGGTTTACTCCAGTGGCTGGCACCACATTCCATTCACACACAGGCACATGCAGGTCCGTGCAGGTCCCCTCAGGTACCTGGCACTGAGTTCTTACAGGATGCATATACATGGGACAGCGCAATCAATTATGCAGAGAGGAAGATAAGAGAATTTTTAATAAGAAGATGCAAGAAGACAAGACACACTGTGGCCATCAAGTGCAGGACTAAGCCAGATTAATGTAGTAGTGAGTGGCACTTCTTTACAGACAACTGTACCCCTTTTGGTCCTTTTGTCTATCTGTTCTTCTTTGCTCTGCCTTTCCCTGCTTGTTGCTCCACAGCTCTATTGATTCCCTCACTCCACATGGTTCAGGGCCCCTGGATTAGCAGAATGACCAGAGGACCCCTGAGTTTGCAGACTGCCTAGCTGAAAACTCCAGGTGAGTTTTCATCAAAGTAGTGGCCATAGTTGCATGATAGCTCAGCAGCTGTTGGACTGGCAAGGTTAGTTTACTGTCACTGTTGACCTGTTTGCTTAGTCAGGTGTCAGTATATTTTCCTTCCTGCCTTACCACTGTTCCTTTGGTTTGCCAACTGACCAAGTTCCCAATTAAGATAACCTTGCTGGAATAAATATTCCTTTGCCTTCACATGTCTCCTCATAAATTTGTGTGGCTGGCCCAACCTGGCTGTCATCACCACCTTCCTTATCATTTTGTGGTCAGGTTTGTGTCCCTGTATGTTCCTGTGTATGGCTTCCTCCTTTTATCATTGGCTGCACTGAAAAAGGTCCTTTACCAGATAATCTTGAAAATACTGACACTCATTTCCATATACCCTCGCTGCAGCCATGGTGGAACATCTTGTATCTGCCAGCTTAAACTGTTTGCCTATCTCCTGGATCTGCTCATGTCTGCAGTCTTGATTCCTATGACAGATTTCAAGCTCATTACACTGCTTTCTCTTTCTCACTATTCATCATCTTAACATCTTCCATAATTTTGTCCCACACAATCACAATTATGTCTTCAAAATAGCTACTCCAATTGCTACATCCAGGCTGCTGTTATTCAATTGTCATTTCCTATTCTTCTACTTTTCTCAAGATAGAAAAGTAGAAAAACATGCTTTCAGGCTGGTGTTTGCTCAATTATTAAAGTCTGAGGTATCTATGACTTGACAGTGATTAAAAACATATCTCATGGTGTTAAAAATTGCAAGAGTTCTTTCTTAGACCCTCTTTCAATAATTTGCAGAATACTTTGGAGGATTCATGGTTATTAACAGTCAATGATCTTTCCTAGAAAGGGTTTTAAAAAAATAGGGTTTTTTTCAAAATAATTGATTTCTAGAATCTGCAGTATTCAATTGCAGGGAGCACCTTAATTGCAGGTTGTTTGGAAAAAAAAGAAGGTTT